CAAAATTTTGTCCAATAAATTCGCTTTATTTATTCAATTTATCTATTTTTCAATGTTCAGGTTTCATAATTTTTCCTCTCTCAACTTCATTTTCTCCAATTTTTCGATTTGCAATTTTTCAATTCTACAATTTTTCCATTTTATAAATTTCATTTTTCCATTTTCAGCTTTCCGTTTCCTCAATTTTTCAAGTTCTTGATTTTTATTTCAAATTTTCTCGATTTTTTAATTTTGCATTTTGTCAATTTTAGATCGCCACCTGTGGACTTGTTTGATCTATAGACCAAAACGCACTTATCGACTATAAGCGATTTATTTATAAGTCGACTTTCGTTAGAGCTGATCTAATACACATCCACTATGAAGAACAAAGGTCTTGAACATCTTTTTCAATTTTTCAAATTTTGACGTTTTTAAATTTTTAGTTTTCCGATTTCTGAACTAATCTTTTTCATTATTTATTTTTCAGGTTTTTTGATTTTTCAATTTTTCGATTTTTTAAGCTTACGCTTCTTGGACTTCGCTTTTTTGGCTTTCAACTTTTTAGTTTTTAATTTCTCGCTTTTCCAATTTTTAAATTTCTCAATTTTTTGGATATTTCTCTCAGTTTTGGGATTTTTCAATATTTTGATTTTTCAAGTTTTGGATTTTTAGACTCCTGGATATTTTACTTTTTGGATTTTCAATTTTTCGTTAAACTTTGGATGATTCAATTTTTGGACTGCTTTATACTTCGATTTCTCAGTTTTTCAACATTTCGATGTTTTAATTTTTTTTTCTTAAAATTTTTTGGTTTTTCAATTTTTTGATTTCTTGATTTGTTGTAATGTAATGCAATGTTTATTAATATATATTTATCGAATTCAGATGTTTTGATGTTTTGATTGTTCAACTTCTCGACTTATCAATTTTTCAATTTTTAACTTTTCTTCTCATTTTTCCACTCCTTGATTTCTCGAATCCTTTTTGAACCTGTCGGTTTTTCGATTTTTTACTTTTCGGCTTTTCAATTTTTTGATTTTCAAATTTTTCGATGTGTCGATTTTTCAGTTACCCAATTTTTCGATTTTTTAAATTCCGGGGGTTCGATTTCTCGATTTGCTGATTTTGCAGTTTTTCGATCTTTAAATTTTAGATTTTCGAATTTTTAATTTTTGATTTTTTGATGTTTGGAATTCTCGATTTATCAATTTTGCGATATTTTAATTGTTCAATGTTTTAAATTTGGATTTTTCGATTTCTCTATTTTTTGATTTTTCAGTTCTTCAGTATTTCTATTTTTTTTAACTTTTCAAATTTCGACGTTGCTAAATTTTCACTTTTCCGATTTCTCAATTAATCTAGTTTGATTTTCCCATTTCTCGACTTGCCGAAGATTCGAATTTTCAGTTCTTCAATTCTTGGATTTTCCGATTTTTCGACATTGCTGTTTTGGTTTCTCGATTTCTCATTTTTCCAATTTTTTAATTTCTTGATTTTTGGATATTTCTTTCAGTTTTAGGATTTTCCAATATTTAGATTTATTTTTCCGATTTTGCATTTTTTGCATTTTCAGTTTTTCGTTTTTTAAACTTTAAACTTTTCAATTTTTCGACCGTTTCGATTTCTCGATGTCTCAGTTTTTGAATTTTTCGATATTCCAATTTTTCGATTTGTCGGTTTTTCAATTTTTTACGTTTCGGCTATTCGATTTTCCGATGTTTGGATTTTTGAATAATCTGATTTTTAAATTTTCGAGTCGCGATTTTTCGATTTGTTATTTTTCATTTTCGATTTTTAAATTTTAGATTTTCGAATTTTTATTTTTTTTGATTTTTTGATGTTTCGATTTTTCTATTTTCCAATTTTACGTATTTTAATTTTTCAATGGTTTAAATTTAAATTAAAACTTTTAGATTTTTCGATTTTTCAGTTCTTCAATATTTTTTAATTTTTAAAATTTTGACGTTTCTGAATTTTTAGTTTTCCGATTTCACAATGAATCTATTTTTTGATTTTTCCATTTCACGACTTCCCCAAATTTCGATTTTTCAGTTCTTCAATTCTTCAATTTTTCGATTTTTTAGGTCTTTGATTTTTAAATTTTTCTATTTTTTAAGTCTGCGATCTTTCGACTTTGCTGTTTCGACTTTTCGATTTCTCAGTTTTTCAACTTATTAATTGCCCAATTTTTGGATATTTCGTTCAATTTTGTGATTTCTTCAGTTTTCCGATTCTTCAATTTTTCTTCTATTTTTTAATTTTTTACTATGTCCGTTTTGGGCTTTTTTAGTATTTCGACTTTTCGATTTTTCAAGTTCTGGAATTTTCGATTTCTCTACTTTTTACTTTTTGGATTTTCAATTTTTCAATTTTTTATACTTAAAGTTTTTTAATTATTCAGCTGTTTTATATTTCGGTTTCTCAATATTTCAACTTTTCGATATTTTAACTTTTCAATTTTCAAAATTTTAAGTTTTTCGATTTCTCGAGTTTTCAGTTCTATATTTCAATTTTTCAATTTTCGGAATTTTTAAATTTTCGATTTTCCCACAGAAATTCGAAATGCTTATTAGAGTCGACATCGGTCTGTAGATCAAACAATTTCTCAGACGATATCACAATTTTTAATTTTTTTCATTTCCTTTATTTTGTCAACGTTTCTTTCGATTTTAAGATTTTTCGTTTACTCAATTTTACAAATCTTCGATCTTTAATTTTTAGTGCCTCAATGCCTCGACTTTCCAATGTTTAAATTTTTCAATTTTGCAATTTTTAGATTTCTCAGTTACCCGATTTTCGGATTTCCATAATATTCAATATTTGTATTTCACACTATTGCTTTTCGCTTTTGAAGATTTTCAATTTTTAAGCTTTCGATTTTTCAACATTTTCATTTTATACTATTTCGTAATTTTATTATTATTGATTCTTCAAGTTAAAATTTTGGAAATTTTCAATCTTTTTGATTAGAAAAGTCGAAAAATCAAAAATTAAAAATCGAAAAGCTAAGAAATTGGAAAAAATTGAAAAACTGAAAAATTGGAAAATCGAAAACTTGCAAATCGAAGAAACGAAGTAACGAAAAATTGGAACATTGAAAAACTAAAAACCGAGAAACTTAAAAAATTGAAACAAACTAATGAATCGAAAAATTGGAAAGAAGGAAACACGAATCGAATCGCTAAATTAGAAAACCCAAAAATTGTAAAATCGGAAAATTATAGGACCGTCGAAAAACTGTAATATTGAAAGATCGAAAAAATGGGAAAAGTTTTAAAATCCAATAATCGAAAATTGTAAAAATTCTATAATCGTAAAATTGTAAAAGTGGAAAATTTAAGAAATTATAATTATTATTACATATTTAAACTGAAAACTAGAAGTAAAGAGAAAAGTCAAGAAAGTAGAAGCAAAAATTAAAAAATCTAAAATTTGAAAAATCGGAAAATTAAAAAAAACGAAAATTGAAAAATTTGACAGAAAATTAGAACATTGAAAAGAGAAACTTAAAAATGAAAACTCGAAGAGTTGCACATCGTAAAATTTAAAAAACAAAAAAAAATTAAAAACTGAAAAATTGCAAATCGAAAAATTAAAGAAATGAAAAATTGCAAAAAAATTCAATTGAAAAAACAAAAAATTATAACATCGGAACATTGAAAATACGAAAAATTGTAAAAATAAAGAAAATAAAAAACCGAAATAAAAAACTACAAATCGAAAATTTGAAGACATGAAAAATTAAGGAACACGAAACACTGAAAAATTAAAAATTGAAAACTCGAGAAATTTTAAGTCGAAGAATTGCAAAATCTGAAAATTGAAAAATTAGATAGTTGGAAAAATGAAAAACAGAACAATCTTAAGCTGAAAATTGTAAAAATTACAATTCGGAAAAAATGAAGCAATAAAAAAAATTAGAAGTTGAGGAATTGAAAAATTCAACCCAAAATAGCTTCGGGAATGTTATTTACGCCATTCATCTCCAAAATTTTCTCTAAACAATAGAACCTTCGATTGCTTCGTCTACCAGTGTGACCAAATAGCCTGACTGTTCGATTTCTGATTCGACTTGCCCTGATAATATGGGGACTATCGAATCTAGAAGTTCATTATGACTAGTTTACGAGATTAATTTCTTTAATTAACTTCACGCCATCAGAAAATAGCAAGCAGTGAACCTCACTAAAGATATCAGGTAAGTCATTGTTTAGCAGTTGAAACAACAGCGGACCCAAGTTAGATCCTTAAGGGAGACCAGAATATTGACAAGATGATGTCGACAAAACCCATTAACTTTTTCACTCTATTAAAAGCTTTCGCTATATCAAAATATTTAACATCAACCTGCCTACGCACATGGTCACCAAATTATTTTTATTATTCTTTAATAATTCAGGCAGGCGAAAATGTAGAATGCTTTAAAACGTTTTGTAAAAGTTTGATAAAATTGATATTGGTACTGAAATGGTGTCTATTTTGACATTATTGCGAGTCATAGAATTTAGAATTGCTGTTGGCCCCTTTCTACCTCGAACGAATTTCCAAAATTCTCTCGAATTCGATTTTGCAGAACTTTGAATTCCATTTATTTATACAGTTGGTGTAATCTAATAAATAATTAATTTATAAAATAAAAAGTTTGCTGTTGAAAAGCCTATTTCAAAATTAAAAAGACTGCTTTAAACAATTAACTAATGAAAGTTAAAAAAGTACACATAATAGCTAAGTATTTATAAAAAAAAGCCAATGATAGTGGTAGTCTGTAGGATAAATGGGGTTTACTCACGATAGGTTTTCCCACGGGTTGCTATTAAATCGATTCGGATTTCAGAGCCTTGTTCACAAAAGGATAGAATTCTGTTTTAATATTAGTCCAGTTCTACCTTTAAATACTGAGTATCCACTGCCCAAATTTTGAACAACCACGTCACTTTTAAAAATGACTATTATAATTACCTTTTTGAACCTTCACCAGCAAAAACCTTAACTAAATGATGCATTGATTATAATAATAGATCATCTTTTCCAGAGCTTTTCTTCAGAGTGCCACCAATTTGTTAAATTTATAATACTCATAAATAATGTCTAGATTAGTCAAATTTCGTTATTTTGAAAGTTTTTTTTACTCTAGATGCATAACTGTGTTCACTCCCTTTTCATCCAAGACTCCTTCAACTCCAAGAAAACTAGTTCCGTTATTCAAGTTCGCCGTGTTTGTGTCCACAACTCCCTCGGAGACGATTCAATCCAGCCGGATTTATTTGGTGTATCGTAATATATATCCGAGTCGACGGTAATGCGGTTACGTTTCTGATTGACGACCAATATTGACAGTTATCTGTCAATGGGGAGGAACACTCACGACCCCGAACTCCAAATGAGAAAATATGACGTATGCACCTCTTCTCTCCCGAAAACACGACTTCCTCTTCCCATCACATACTTCGTATCAGTTTGAGCGGCCACCGAAACGTAATTTGATATTATCGAACAGGTGGGTAATCTGATCAGCTTCACAATAAATAACAAACTAAATAAGCCGGAGTAGATCATGTATTGGGCAGTGGCGACTCGCTCGAAGGAGGCTAAATTATGGTTAAATATCAACTGAAAATAATGAAGAAAATGTTAAACGATTTATTTATTAATGAGTTAGTTAATTGAGGACTTATGATGATCTTCCTGCTGATTTGCCTTTATTCACACTTCCAGTTCTTCCAGATCCATCAACCACGTCCATGGTCAGCAACGTCCCGAAAAGCGTTTTCCTAGAAACACGAAGTTATTAAAAACAAATCAGTTTGTTGAAATAAATGATAAGATATTTCTGGAACCGCCACTGGCTGAGGTCATCGTCGCATTACGCGTTGACCGCTGTTTGTAATTTAGATAAAATAACGCATGTGGGAGTGTACTTGGTCCTTATTAATATTCGTCCTGCTACTGGAAATCGATTTATGCAAGATATTGAATAATTATCAATAATAACTCATTTATCGTTTCGAACTTAATTAAAATACGTGCGTAGCGGCTGCGAGACGGCTTATTTATTGCTGGAGTGCATGCAAGTAGTTATTTGCTTTAACACCCATAACGGGAGATTTTTTACCCCTGCTTGAGAAGGTGACCGGGTATTAATAAATGGAAATTTATCGTGAAAGGAAAATTGCTTAAATTTGTGGTAATTGTTGGCTGGAGGACTTCTTTATAACAGCGTTCGGCTCGTTAAGGGTGCAATTGAAAATGAAAATAGTTACCAGGAGCAGAAACAGTCTTTCAGTTTACGACAGCGCATGCAGTATTATGAAGCGTGCTGCAGGCAAATACGGTTCTGCTGCAAATTGTGGAATAATATGTCTATATTAAATTCACTTGACAATTGCCAGGTGAATTTTAAGTTATGAGATAAATTAAAAGCCCCCATGAGATCTAAGATAAGGAATAGGTTGATTACAAATTTTCTTCATCACGAAATATGCAAGGATGCACATTTTGGCATTAAGCTTGGAAAATTAAAAATAGTGCAATTAATTTGGTTTTTTTTTTAAATACCGGTTTACTTCTTTATTTAAATGCGTCCCTCCCTCTTCTGCGGCAACATGTATAATACATATTACGTGTAAAATGAACACTTAACAAAACAGCAATAACTCTTTGCGTGATTAATTAAGTTATTCCAGAGTTAGCAAAACACATATATTTGATAAACTATATAGATTACACACTTAGTGTTGTTAACGTTATTAAAAGCTAAAAACGTACGAAATTAGCACAAAACGTCAAAAAATAATTTCACAGAAGCATAAATATTTTTTATCAAAAGGGTTGTTTCAGTTATTGTTATTAATTGTATAACTATGTAAAAAAAACGTGAGTATTTCTAGAAAACTTTCGCCTATGTGAAACACGGAAACGTTAAAAAAACGCTTGAAGATTTATTAAATCATAAATAAAAATAATACAGAATTTTTGAAAGTGACGTCATCAAATTAATGGACTGTAGTGTATACCATGTTAATAATTAAATAGATTATATGCAATTTGTATAACGCGTATTTTTGATATAACAAATAAATACTTTAGTATACACATTGATTTCGAAATATATGCAAGAATTGTAACAACGGCATCACGTATCTTAACAAAATGGAAATATAAATAAAACAAATTGAGATTAGAATGGCGGAAAACCCCGATGAACTACACTCAATGTGACGCCACTGATTCCATCATCTAAGGCAACCAACTGATACATGACTGTCTCTTATCGTGTTTTTGCACGTTGTTTATCAGTGAGCCACTTTTTTAGTTCTTAATCGTAGTCGTTCTATGCCATGCATTGAGTAGTAGATGTGGTCAAAAATCACTACCAGTGGCGTGTATAACGATGTTGATTTCAAATATTTTTTTCTAAACATGCTACCAGTTAGGAACGTCAATTTTACGCAGTCAATAAAGCTTATTGTGAGCTTTTTGTTATTTTTTTAAATGCACACATTTCGAAATCACCCTGTATAATTCAGACTTATGTAAAGCGATGTTTAATGTAAATTTCCTATTAAAAAATTAAATAATTCGTTTTTATAAAAATATTGGTAAAGTGTTACAGTGGACGAGAGTACGGTGAGAAAAATTTTTACAATGAGACTATTTTAGTGTTAAAAAATTGGAGAAAACCGATTTATATGCAGGGTTATGTTAAGGGGACTCGCTAGACGAGGTATAACATTTTTTTGGTTTTTTGTATTAAAAAAAATGATATTAATATGGATGTACCATACATCAAACTGCAGCTTTTTTCATATTCTAGAGCGCAAAGACCAGTTCAATCAACTAAAAAAATATGGCTGAGAAATATCATAAAAAAAGCACCACTGTATGTTTCCTTTTCAAGTTTTTTGAGTCATAACCATCATAGAATCGCTTGAAAATTCGCACATGGATCACTTTTTACAGGGTGCAGAGTCATTAAATGTTTGTTAATGGTACAATTTGTTTATATAATAATGTGTTTATTAAAATAAAAATATACCACAAATTAATGCAAAATACGTCGAATAATTTTAACAGGAATATCAGAGGAAAATTAATGATCTATTGGTTAGCAGAGTTTTTAACAAAAACTAACAATTTTTGAAAAAAATGGGTATCAATTCGACAGAATTTCAGCAGTTAGTTCAGTACTTTGCCGATAGGAGCACCACTAAAATTTACGGAAGCGACTTTCCAGGTAAAACGCTTATCGCCTGCTCTACCATAAGCTGATTGTTAGAGGTCTCAGCTGATTTTTCTAATTTATGGCAAGGAACTCAGTTTTATAACAAGCCGCCAGGACCGGCCGTAGTACTCTATTGTTAAGGAAATTAACGTTTACGCAATGAGGTACTATCATAAAACCGAATTAAAACTGGGGAACTATGATATTTTTTCTCCACTCAGGATCCTGAATTATATTACACATGATTACTAAAAATTCATTGTGATATTATTGTTAATATATATTTTGCTTTGTTAATTAATAAAACTAATAAACATATTTATAATAATAATAAAAAATATATAAAATACAGCTTTTGTTTAACACGTATAAGTAGCTAAGTGTATCTACTACTTATCCCAGAAAGGAGGTGTTTTAAAAAAGCCCTACGCCCAGTAACTTCTCCCTTCATTGTCTACTCCAAAAAAGTGCTCGTATATGTTTTCATTTGTCGAGAAATCATTTTCAAAATATATTTATAATAAAAATATGCAAGTCTTGGTGATGAAAAATGTACTCCTAATAAATTATTAAAGTACATAAAAAAATAGAAACAAATTTTATTTATTTAAAAAAAAATCTCTCGCAAAGGCAGGTTCCTCTTTCTTCTTGAATCAATTATTTCGGGCAATAATACGCCAAAGTAAAATCTGCCAAGTTTATCTGCCATCTTTTTACATATATTTCTTCGTCTTTATAATTTTTTTCTATATTTATTCTTGGGTGTCCATACAACAAAATAAACTTGTGAAATACCCGTAACAAGCATTTGTCCCTGGACTTAAAAGTAGTAATCATGATTTTTTTTTAGTTTCAATTCTCTGTTTGTCAATATACAAAATTTGATTATTTTTGTTCTAACCGCTTCTTCGGGAGACAAATCTTGCGATTTTGAAGGGCATTTAATTTCGACTAATGCACTCCTATCCTCTAGAACCCTGTCTGGACTAGCAGCCAAGTAAGGAAATTATTTTGAAATAAACAAGCCACACCGTTCAGTTTTTATATTTTTATTTATTTCAAAACACTTGACAGCTTTTTCCTTACTTTGCTGTCCATAGTATGTATGACTATTACCTCTAAATGTACTGTACAACAGAGACTCCACAGTTTTAGCTATTGCTGTAGTCGGTCTAAGTTTGTAAATACGTCCAAAATTTGAAGCCGTAACCCTAATTTCTCTTTTTTTTGCCCAAATGTGGCTGTTGCCTAGTGTCTTTTTTAATTTGGTCTAGATTCAAAGATAATTTTCTCAAAAAAAACCTCTTTGGCTGTCACAAAAGTTTCTACATCCATGATAGGATTTTCTAAAAAATATTTAAACCATAATCGCAGTCATATTTTTTTACGAATACTTGGTCTAAGACGAGCTTATTTTATAGACGAACAATATTTTTTTTTTATTAAACCAGGACCGTTTTAATCACAATATATTTACTTATCCCCTCTAAAAAATTGATGACGTCACACAAAATTTTGCTGAATAAATCCTATCTAAATTGTATAAAATATGATGAGTCTCTTCTTGTGATTTATCATTCCATTCATGTTTTTTGGATTTGCATATACAGGATGACCCCAAAAATTAATGAATGCGTAAATTTATTTTATTGATTTAATCAGGAACTACAAAACCGAATGGTTTGAAATCTAATGTGAAAAAAAAACATAATAGGTATGCAGTCGTCACGTTTCCGATTCTTCAATTGTGATTTTTCAATTTTTCGGTTTCTGGATTTTTCAATGTTTCAGTTTTGGATTTTTTCACTTCTCCGATTCTTCAGTTTTCCTTCCATTTTTCAGTTTTTCAAGATTTCAGTTTTGAATTTTTTCACTTTTTCGGTTTTTCAATTTTCCTTCCATTTTTCAGTTTTTCAGTATTTCAGTTCTGAGATTTTGCAATGTTTCGGTTCTTCAATTTTTCCATTTTTTAATGTTTCGATTTCTCGGTTTTTCAATTTTTCGATAGGTATTTTAATTTTTCAATTTTTAAGTTCTAGATTTTCCATTAATTTTTTTGTTTTCCTTGATGTTTTGATTTCTCGATTATTCGATTTTTAAATTGTTTAATTTTTAGATTGTTTAATTTCTCGATTTATAGATTTTTCAATTTTTCGGTTTACCGATTTTTTTCATTTAAAATGTTTCAAGTTTTCAATTATGTATTAAGTTTTCGATTTTTCAATTTTGGTGTAATTTGAAAACGGTATTAATAATACATTTAGGCGAATAAACTAATAGATGGGCTTGATAAGCCTTGCTTGCTCTACAGTGTCTAAATTGTGTTTGAATAATATAATAATTATCTCGAATATTAAAATTAATATGTCAAAAGAATACCAGAAATGATTATTCTGTGCTGAAGGTATGTTGTGGGCCGCCTGTCATAAATTATCATTATTCTGCATTAAGGCAACAAATGGCGCCCAATTCAAACTTGTCTCTCGTCTAGCGTTCCCCCTTAAAGTCATGCACAAAATTCATAAAAATATGTCTAGCTTTTTTGACATA